GGAAAATCAGTAGGGTGTATGTTATGAGAATCTCTTAGAAATCCCTGGGCAATAACTCAAATAGGGATTTTCCCAGGCTTCATGTCATATAGGTTCTACAAAGTTCTAACACCATGAGCTGGGGCCTAAATGCTCAAACACATTTTTGTTTGTCCCTTTGGGGGTCATTTCACATTTAAATCATAGCAAAAACCCAAGTTTGAAATCTTACAGAGATTATGCAATCTGATTTTTAGTAAAGATTATTTCATGAGGTAGACATACTGTTATGAATTCCATATCTATTGCTGAAATGGGAGTGAAAGATGTCATAAGTTTGAACCTTTGCAGAGGGTTCCAATTCCCACACACTGAGCCAGTAATAATCAATTCTAGATGTTTATTCTGTAAGTTATTTGACAATATCCAAAGAGTCTAGCTAAATATCTGAAAAACAGTTCTCAATGCAAATAATATCCTGATCCTCAAAAGCCAACAATAAAAATATAAGAAAGCCAATTCTAGAGCAACTTCCTTTTTCAAAGGAATCAAGTTCAGGTATAAATTTAAATGGAACATATGCACTGGGTGTCTCTAACTTCAATTATCTTGTTGACACTACAGGTTCCTATATAGGTGGAGATTCTGCAATAGAATTAGGCACAAGAGTTGGATGTATAACTCAATGGTAAAACACTGAGCATGCCCAAAGCTTCTCTCCCACCCTTGGCACCAAAAACTTGTATCATGTATCGTGTTAGGTCTTCACCAGGAATCTTCACTGTATGTAATTCTAAAGAAGAAATGGTGTATTCTTTTTATTTTAAATTTTGTTAGAAATACTGCTTATGATTGTGTTATATGAAGGACCTGGAGTGACATACATTAATATGCTAATGAAAAATGTCTTTGTAGCAGTTTTTAGAATCTCAGGATGCATTTGATTATAAGCAAGAGGAAGACAAAGGTATCACAATGAGTAGACCTGCTGAGGAGCAAACCTCAGGAAGGGACCTTTCTATCAAATGGCTGTAATGTAGTCACAAAACTCTACCCGATCAAAAGAATAGCAGCAGAAGAATTGGGTTCAGAGAAATAACTTTTAAATATCACATACTATTTTTTCTGTGAGTGATTCTTTTATTTTTGTGATTCTTATAATAAGTAACTTTATTAGGAGGTTGGAAGGGTCCAAGTAGAATGTAATATGAAGATGGAGATATAATTATATTCACATGATTAGTATATATAACATAGATATAGTGAAATATCATAAATATGCTCTATTACTATGTGCTGATTCAAAGATTTAAATGCATAAGGAATTATAAGTGCTATCATGATTAGATCACTACACATTATAGACCTTGATTAATACTTCACATTTTTGTAAGCAAATACAACTACTGTGTTAATTAAAATTTAAAATATGAACAAGTGAAAATGGAAGAGTAGATTTGTGAGAGAAAGTAAATAGGAGCCAGGATAAGAATGGATACATTCTTATCAAAAGATATGTTGAGGTAAAAATCACAGCTCTCATCTCAAAGAGGATAAGACACCATTTATTCTATAGCTGAATATGAGGAACATGAACCCAGGAATACAGATTATGTTACTACAAATTGCATGTCCCAATGTGATAACAGTTTGATGAAGTTTTTACTGTAATAGAAAAGAATGGAAGCACTTTAAAAATACATTGGTAGAAGCACTAGGTGATTGTTTTTAAGTGGTGACCATATATGCCATAAGAAGTCAACATTCTACTCAAAAGATACTTGCCCAGTCATGTTTATTGTTTCTATATTTGCAACAACTAAGAAATGAAAATAATCTACATATTCTTTAACTTATGACTGAACAATGAAAATGTGGTACACCAGTACAGAATATTGTTCACTTTAAAGAAAAGTCATGAAATGTTCAGTAAACAAATAGAACTAGAAAATATTACACCAAGTAAGGTGATCCAGATAGACAAAAGCTGTATAGTCTCATTTATTTCTGAATCCCAGATATGAATATTCTTATGTGAGTATACAGAAACAAAAAAATTAAAAATGGTCATGGTCCCAAGTAAATCTCTTGGAAATCTCCAAACAACTCAGACTGTTGCTAGACAAAAAGTTGCTTTCTGCAAACTGATAGCAGGATCCCATTGCAAAGGACAACACTCCACAGAACTCACTGAATGTGGAAAAATCAAGCTGGCACTTAAATGAACCCCTCACACCCACGTTCTAGTTTCTTTGGCGCAGGAAGGTATTCTGCGGGCTACTGAAAGAGAAACATGGACATAAACTCAGCCACAAAACTTCTGACATGCAATCTGTCCTACTTGGATAACATGCTAGGGCAATGGTGACACGGAAATCATGGGAGAAGGCACTAAATACCTTAACTGGCATAAGGCCAACTCTACAAGGAGGAATTCATACCAACAGTGTTTGGGTAACCAAGACCTAGAAACTAGATAGCCCAGAGACCGAGGGAGGGTAAAGCTAAACATTACTACTCTAAAAATATCACTAATATGATTCCTAGCAATATTTTGCTATAGGCATAGATTGGTTCCTTATCCAGTTATCATCAGAGAGGAGTCCTTTAGCAGCACACGGGAACAAATGGGAGACTCACAGACAGACATTAAGTGGAGAGAAAGTCTAAATTGGAGGTCTCCATCAAATCTCTCCTTGTCCTTCAGATTCTTTTCCTTCTGTTGAGTTGCTGTGTCCAACTTCAGTAAGATAGTTTTTGCTTCATCTTATATATCTTATTTTGTCATGTTTGATTATTATTTCTTAAAAGCCTATTCTTTTCTAATGAGAAACCAAAATGGAAGTGATCCAGATGGAAGGAGAAGTGGGGAGAAACTGGGAGGAGTAGAGGGAAGAGAAACTATAATCAAGATATATTTTATGAGAATAGAATCTATTTTCAATAAAAGGAAAAGGTTTTTTTAAAAAAAAATTACCATGACAGAGGTAAAACAGAGAAAGACCTCTGGACAGGGGACAGCTATGATATGTGCTTTAAAGGGGTAAATGCAGGGTTAAGAGCATTGTCTGCTCTTTCAAAGGTCCTGGTTCAATTCCTAGCAACCACATGGTGGCTCACAACCATCTGTAATGAGATCTGGTGCCCTCTTCTGGCCTGCAGGCATACACACATACAGAATATTGTATGCATAATAAATAAATAAATATTTTAAAAAGGGGGGGTTTAAATGGAAAACCGAGAGATGGGAACTTACCTGTAGAGGGGAAATGGAGGGCAACACAGAACTGAGACAGGGAACAAATAACAAAATAACAAGTATATTTGCAAATATTGTATGAAATAATTTTCTGTTTACTTAAACTATACACACATACATACACACATGCACATATATATGTATATATTCAATTTAAATGAAATTACAACACAGGGGTGAGGATTATCTTCCTAGGAGCCAAAACCCCCAGTGTCAGGAATGGAAAAGTTCCTTTTGAATTGTTAATCAAGAGGATCTAAACAGTTTAGGCTACTGCTGTCGCCCTTATTTACCTCCCAGACTGGGAGTGGAAGACTCAATTGTTGAAGATATTGTCTACTTCTGAAGGAACAATGGAAGAGGCCAGGGAGAAAATCAATCATTAGTACTACCCAGTGACAAAGTCTATGAACCACAGCCATGACCAGAATGGCAATACATTCCCCAAAATGTAACAGTGACATTTATGTACAAGAGGTAACCAATAGTTATTGAACTTAAGTCTCACTCATACAAAGAAATTCACATCTGGTACTCTAAATCTAGGAAATTATGAATAGAGAAAAGGAGAATGAGTCTTCTCTGAGAACAAGTCCCCCAGTAGGTTGTCCACTCTTATTTGGTCAGCCCTAACAACACACATCTATGAGCAAAATCAAGTAAACTCAGTGGGTGGTATACACTGTGTGTGCATATATTCTGAGTGACAATAATAATAAAAGACCATGAATTTGAGAAGGATTGGCATGCACAGGTTGATTTGGGGGGGGGAGAATTGGTAGAAATGATGTAATATACTAACATTTATAACATTCTAAAAAAAGTAATTAATTTCCAAATTAAACTCCTTATTAGTAAGAAGACAAGTTAAGCCTGGGAATATAGTTAAATGCCTTTCATGCAAAGAGAAGGACATAAACTGAAATTGGCAGAGCCCAATGTTGTATGGACACCATGGCTTGCTTCTAATTTTATCCTCAGAAGGAGGAGTTAGGGGTCCCCAGAGCATGCTAGCTAAGGAACACTGAGAATGAACAAAGTCAAAGAGAAATGGAGGATGCTTATAGCATCAGCCCCAGGTCTCTGCATGAGTATGCACTCTATGCACCTATGCACACGTGAGCTCAAGCACATACAGAAACATGTACACACACACACACATAAAAAAAATGGGAAATGAGAGAATGAAAAAGAAAAGCTAAGGTACTGATAAAGAATAAATGGTGCAAAAGAGAAAATTTTTTATGTACTCATAATTATACAATTTACATATTTAGTTAATGTTTTATATGTATAATTAATCTCATGATGGAATCTACAGTGAAGCAAAGACATGTTCCTCAATAAAAATATATGCCTTTTGGAAGTAGGTTATGCTTTTTAAGGTATACCTGTCCTTTATATGAATGGGTATTTCGAAATGGTTCTCATGTCATTTTGCAATAACTCTGGGACAGGACACCAGGAAAATGGTCTCAGTATCAGAGATCAGACATTTCAATCAATGAGTTGCTTGCCATGTACAGCTTAAATCAAGTGATGAGAATTTCAGGAAATAAACAGAAGGAACAATGTCTTCTACCATCTGACCTGAGTCCCAGGTCCCGGGAGTCTCTCTCCTTTGGAGACGTGATGACTAGTAGGTTACTCATGCCCCAGTGGAAGGCCACACACCCATGTGCACTAATTGGCCTCACAGGGTTATTAATAACAAAAAGGAAAGAAGCTAGGAAGGACACTAGGTGGAGAGACATGGGACTCCTTATAACTTCCTCCCAAAGAGTTTTTTCAGGGCACTCTTAACATCTTTATTCCTAAGACTGTAGATGAAGGGGTTCAGCATGGGGGTGACCATAGTGTACAAAACCGAGGCTGTTGAACTTGCTTGTGAGCTGTGGTTTGCAGCTGAACTGAGGTAAACTCCTAGGCCTGTGCAGTAAAATAAAGAGACAACCGAGAGGTGAGATGCACAGGTGGAGAATGCTTTGTACTTCCCTTGAGCTGAGGAGATTGCACGTATGGAGGACACTATCTTGGAGTAAGAATAGAAGATACCAGCAAGAGGAACAGTAGCCAACAGCACAAGTGTAAAATACATCACCAGCTCATTAAGAAAAGAGTCAGAACAAGTGAGCTGGACCACCTGATTAGGTTCACAGAAGTAGTGTGGGATTTCCAGCTGTGTGCCAAAGGACAGCTGCAGCATCATTAAGCCTTGAAACACGGCATGCAGAACACTTACAATCCAAGACACTAGAACCAGCAATCCACAGAGCTGATAGTTCATGATTACCGTGTAGTGCATGGGGTGACAGATGGCCACGTAACGGTCATAGGCCATGATAGTCAGTAAGAAATTGTCCAGTTCTACAAAAAGCAGGAAAAAATATATCTGGGTGATGCATCCTGCATAGGTGATGACCTTGCTTTGGGTCTGGATGTTCACCAGCGCCTTTGGGACAGTAGTTGAAATGAAACAAATATCCACAAAAGACAGGTTGGAAAGGAAGAAGTACATGGGCGTGTGTAGACGGAGGTCTGAGAAGATGGCCAGGATAATTAACATGTTCCCAAAGACAGTGACCAGGTACATGGAGAGGAAAAGACCATAAGTAAGATGTTGCAGGTCTTTGTCTTCTAAAATTCCCAGAAGAAGAAATTCTGAAACTCTTGTCTTGTTACATGGGTCCATGTATTGCACTAGAAAGAAAGAGAAAACACTGCAGCAATTCTCCACACAAACAGATATTGTTCACACAGATTTATAATTTTTAGCAAATAATTTCTGCACTTAGTCATGGATCTAGTCCTTTCAGGACATCCTGTGCTGATTTAGGATGAATCCCTCCCTGTCCTTCTCTGATCCCTTTTTCTTGAGAGGTCATGTCTATCACAAATTTAATAAGAACTTTCTTTTCACAGATGAGTAATATATAGGAAGGACTAACCATATTCCAGACGCCAAACAATTAGAGGCTATTGCTGGGTATCTTATACCTGTAATCCGAACACTCTGAGGCCTGAGGCAAGAAGACTTCTACAAGGTCAATACCAACACAGGCTACAACTGTGTGAGACTTGGTGTTAAAAGTTAGAATTCAAGGCCTGCTCCACAGGAACGAAATTATGGGGAATACTGTGAAATAGATGTACAAATATGGCCAGGGGAGTTATAGGTCCCGGTACAGAACATACTTATGTTACTTTTCTAAATTATTATTTTGTGAAACTGCTTTCTAAACATACATGTTTACATCCATCGATATGTGCTGTTCTCCCCTGGGTCAGAGAAGAGTCTCATTGCTGAGGGTGGTAGTTAATGCAGAGCTTTATAAACTGGTGGAAATGCTGAGAATAAGTGACTGTGAAATGTCGATGGGGCATCTGTACCAACCTCCATCCACCCTAGGCTCAGAGAACATCAAGGATAATAGGCTAAAAGGCTCATAAGAGCCAGAAGGTGAGGAGGAGAGCCTGGAAATGCTGGACATGTTATACACATGATTTCACAGCACCTGTGATTTCCTAGCGAGACCCTGCACAAGATCAAGCCAGGTAATTCCAGCATGCACTGAGGAGGGCCTACTGAGCCTCCTCCCAGCAAAGGCGTTATTGGCAGTTAATGCTGCTAGGGAAGCATCACTTTTCTTCAAGGCTGTGACCACAATCAGGTTGCTCACATCTCAGAGAACAGTCCTATATACATGCACATATGGGAAGCTCCAATTGGACTTAATATTTAAAAAAAATAAAAAGAGGATATGAATGTTGAGAAGGAGATGGGTCCTGGAGGAGGCAGAGCAGGGAATGAGGGTGATATGATCAAAATACATTGTACACATGTATGAAGTTTTCAAAGAATAAATATAAAATGTTGTTTTAAAAAAAAAGCCCAAGGAAGGGAGTGCATATGTCTGTGTGTTTGCCTCTTTCTCTGCCTGCACGTTTCTCTCTCTCTCTCTCTCTCTCTCTCTCTCTCTCTCTCTCTCTCTCTCTCTCTCTCTCTGTGTGTGTGTGTATGCTAACAAATATGTCAGAAGATCAAGCCCCGGTTTGTGCTTATTAATCTCATTATTCCTTACCTCTGCCTTCAGCTACCAAGGACGATAATTTTATAAATATCAGGACAAAAACAGTAGGGAAGATGACATTAAAACAGAGACTTCAGGCAGCCCGCTAATGCCAAAACCACACAGGTGTTTGTTTCAGATGTTGAAGCCACTAGTGAGCCAGTGAGAGACAAATTGTGATAACTGGTTCAGAGAATGATGAGCAATAAACTAGTCTGAATGCTGTTGTTAAACTGCAGGACAGAAGGAGACTCATTCACACCATGTTTTTTGTTTTTTGCATGTAAGTTTCTTGAAGAGGCTAGCTATGAATTTAAATGGATGTTCTATTAACTACTATTGATGTTTAGGATCTCCTGCCATTATAATAATAGCTCTTCTGTACAGGAGTCCAGCACCTTTGTGCTAAGGAGTGCTTATCAACAAACAAACATGGCCCACTATGGCCCACCATGGCCCACTATGGCCCACCATGGCCCACCATGGCCCACCATAGCATTCTGAGGCTGTTTCCACTAAGCCTTCCTCACCATTAATCCTCACTGATCAGTCCACAATGTATCCAAGAGAATTTGCCCAAGACGCCCAATGATTTGAACTTTACTTTACACCATGTTTATCGAAGCACTATTTTGCCAAAATGTAAAAACACCAAATATATTTAAACATAAGGGACTGACCCAATTATGTCTATCCAGTTGAAAGAGCCTTAAAATGAAATCAAGACAGCAGTATGAAAAAATACTTATGCAAAAAAGATAATCAGAAACTTTTACCAGAAAAAAAACATGATTTCTGCAAAACCACATACAAAATATATGTGCACACAGACCAGATTTGCATAGATATTCCATAAAATAGAAGCTCTAATAGGCACTCTTCTTTCATGTTCTCAGGGTGTGGTGCAGCCTACCAATAAAGACAGTTAGCAATCCTGCAACTTGGTCAAAGTCAAAACTATTCATTCATTCCTTCATTAGATATTGCATGAGAACCAGTGATGTGGATGTACATCACAAATAAGAATTCTGAAAATAAATTTATAAGCCAAAAGGAACTGAGTATCTTTGCCCTAATGTAGAAGTTGACCCAGGGTTTCCATTTTGTAAACTACCCATGAAAAATAAACATGAATGTAAACTGAACTCAGGCATTTCTCAAGGGCGGTACATGCTCTTTCACCAAACTAACTTTCCAGTCCCCAGTTTTATTCTACTTTGTTGCTGAAAGAAACTCCTTTGTGTACACATGCCAAATTTTCCTTATCCAGTCACTTGTTTACAGACACTTCGGCTGACGCCTTAACTTGTCATTTTAAATAATGTGGCAATAAACTCTGACCAAGCATCTCCTTATTATATTGATTGCAAGTCCTTCAAGTATATATGGAAAAAGGTATCATCCTCCACCATTGAGTGGAAGGCCTCTACTCTTCTTGCAATTCAATTAAACTCACTTCATCTTTGTTGTGGTTATCTGCATGTTTATATGAGTCAGATTAAGTCTTGATGAATTCCTCTCTCTGGAGTTTTAGGAAACACCTTGTCAATTTAATTTTGAGTTCATAACTCATGATGATGTCAACAAGTCATTCATATTTTGTATCTTTTTGAATTTTTTTATATTTTCATTCAATTTTGTTTTACCCAGCTGTGTAAATAAACTAAAATATACTTGATGTGTCTTTAATATGTGCACTGAATATTTTTGAATCAAAAATATAAAAGTATTTTTTAAGTCAGTATAGGAAAGATTTAAACATTTATGACTAGAGGCTAAGCTGAGAGGAAGGGTTACAGAAAGAAGTTGCAGAGTGGGTATCAGCTACATTTATATAAGCAGAATAAATTTTAATGTCCTGAAGCATAGTAAGGCAACTGTGGCTCATACATGTGCTTTTATGTACATGGTTTTATAAACATAAGAAACAAATGTAGTTGACTATTCTAACCTGTGTATGTTTTTATCATATATTTTAAAAAATAAAAACAATAGAAAAGAGAGTTTTGAAGAATCCCAGTGCACTGTAATGACACACATTTCATGAGCCAGGTATGCTGAATGATTGAATTTGACTACTACACATTATACACCTGTGCTAAGCATTCACACTGTAACCCACATATTGATGCTGTACGGTGATCTAAAGACCACTGGGAGTACAGAGATAAAATTTTAATACATCGTTAATCATCTTCCTTTTATTTTCATGCCCTCGTGCCCCCAAATCCAGTACATGAGAGACTCACTCCATATATAGCTGTGTAACTTGTAAAGTAAGAGAAGTAGCAGAATGGATGACTACAAACGAAATCATCACATGGATGGAAATTCAAAATTTATAAAGCTAACATTATAATGTCTTAATAAAGCAGAAATGTAAAATTTGAAAACCCATAAATTTCTTGTCTTAAAGAAAAAATGCAAACACTGCATTAATAGCAGTTTCGTGAATATGAATTCTGGAAGTGCTTAAAACATATAATCTTGGTTTATATCAAATTTTCTTTTTCATATTATGTTCATATTCATACCTCACATTTTTCATATGCATGCATTTATCAGCAGGATTCATAACAGTTGCTAAGCCCATGGCAAACACCTTCCTGTGTATTGCTGTGTGTTTTGTAGTTTTTCTTTCTCTCCTTTCTGAACAACAATACCTACAGAGCCCTGGAAATAAAATATTATGAAGCAGCCAATTTATTTCAAAGAATGCATAACATTCTCTAATACCGATGTGTAATACTTTTAACAGTCTTTCATATTCTTTCTTATTAATTTACTATTATAGCACTCTGTTAAAATAATTAATTTCTAAGGCAAGTTCTCAACCAGGAGTGACTTGGTTTCCCAAAGGGCATTGAGCCTTGTCTTTCTCTGCCACACAGGGGAACAGGATGTCAAATGCCCCATGTTGTGCAGTAGAGGCCCACACCAAAAATGGCCTGGCCTTGAATTACAAAATGTCTGTGATTTTTTTTATTAATAATACTTGCAGATTGTCTCCCTATTGCCTGTAACCAAATCACATTTTTGACGGATCTATTAAAAGTAACTATTTTATCTTGAAAAATTCCACCTCTAATCAATGCAATGACTCTTGGTGTTTTTCGCCCTTGAATAAAAGTTTTGAAGAGAACATTATCTTCTTAAACGATTAGTGACTCCCAGTGAAAAATTTTCACATGCTTCCACAACCATTTTTATTTCCCTATTTTTAAAATGGCAATTTACTTTAGTATTTGTGCTCACATCAGTTCTTTCACACATCTCTTTAAATTTCTGTGTACATGAAATAAGCAACTGGCAAGAAGGAAGTTTGCATAAAAATGAGCCCAACACTATACTGGAAATATTTCATTGGAGAGCAAGAATATGATACCCCACTGGGTGTGAATGGGAAGAGCTCGCACAGGACCTGAGTAGAAAAGGAAGGAACGACTAACACACTCACCTACGTGATCAGCCTCACAGGTATAGAAGCAAGTGCAACATCATGCTTTAAGACATGTACTAATCCATCTATTACATAATTCCTTTCAGTATCAATAACTATAGGGAACAACAATGCTTTAAAAAGCTTATATTATGACATTATTATCATGAGATGAGATTTGGAAAAAAACCTCTAGTACTGGTC